ATAATAATTTTGATCTTATTAATCAGGCATACAATTTCCAGACGGGTCAATTGCAAAATTGCCAAGCCGATTTACAAAATTGGCGTAGAAAGCATGTTCAGCCTGATGAATGGTATAATAAAATTCATGCCATACTAGCTATTCCTGCGATAACTAATCTCAATGATGCCAATAAAGTAGCTACTTTAAAGGGTAGACTTGGTCGAAAGTTGCACTCCTATCGTCAGAAGCAGTTTCTAAGTTATGTTTTAGAATAATATTTAAAGCAGTTTTTCTTTGAAAAGTGGTTGTTGTGTAAATACGAAGATATGACTTTTTTTCATGGTAACCACGAATAGGGAATGCTTTTACATGTTCTATCCGAATTTTATTTATGTCTATAGTTTCTCCCTCGTCATCTTTCCCATTTCTAAATGTATCTTTTATTTCAGTCTTGAATACATCAACAGTTTTATCATCTGGATGACGGATATCGAAAAAAACCTTAATACCTGAAATAGTTACTACGGCCTTTTCTCCGTTGACAAGACATCCATAGATATGTAAAACATAATGTGGAGTATTGTTTATATACTCATTATATTCTTCAATATCAACGGGCATAAATGGGATATCTTCTTTATTGCTTAATACTCGTTTAATGCTTTTTGTTGAGCCATAGTCATCATTCTCTGCAATTGTATTATTACGACTAGGGTTGGTTGGTAAATATTCTTCTCCATTGTATCAAAATACTTGACCTGTTTTTTTACTTCATCAGGAAAATAAATCTCATGTAAACCTACGTAGGGTTTAAAACTGACCAGCATTATGCGGAAATGTTAACAGAATTACCAAAATATCGACATAATGTTGGCCAATTCTGAACCCTACGTAGGTTTATGTAAGATTTATTTTCCTGATGTTATCATTAATATCACCAGAAAGAGTGGGATTTGTATCTAAACTTTTTACTGAAATGAATAATATTGCACAAGTTAAGCATGGCGGAGAAAATAGAAAAGATTATTTCATTTCATTAGTCAAGAAAAACAATGAGCTTTCTGAAAACGAAAAAGAATATTGTAAAGGAATGTTTATTTATATCTCTGAATTAAAAAAAGCAAGAAATAAAGAAGGCGAACTAAAAGAATGTAACAAGTGTAAATCAACAAGATACTCTAATAGATTCTGTGAAAGTTGTATTAGTTTACAATTACAGAGTAAAATAAAAATGTATAGTAATAGTATATTAATATTAATATAGACAAAATTCAAATAAAATGTAATAGTAAAAGTAATAATATTAATATATAGTCAAAATTTATTCAGTTCTTGAACAATATTTTTTTTTAAAAAATCAAGAATCGACTAATTTTTATAACAAAATTAGAATATTCAAAACTTCTGAAAAACAACGAGTTATATAAACCTGAAGACATTTTTGTCTATTACATATCCGCTACAATCTCTTATTATTATTTGTAATAAAATCCGGCGAGTCTTTTCGTCAGTACTAGTAATATTATAATAAATTAATAACCTATAATTAATTATAAATCAGTCTCTTATAATTAAAGTCAAAATTTTTCTAACACAACCTTTCAAGTAGTTATAAGTGACTTTGTAGGGAACACTTTGGCACAATTGTTGCCGCTGAATTTGTTTTAGTCTGCATACTAGTTGGAAGAAAATCTTAAAATAAGTGTGAAGAAAAGAAACGCTTCTGACCTAGCATAGAATAACCAATATTTAAGCTAACCTTTTTTTTTAACTGTTGTTAGAAAGTTCTAGTCTGGCTCTAAAATTTTTATTATGGTTGAAAATCGCTTGCTATATAAAAAATGGAGAATTTTTTTTTTTTGAAGTGGACGATAATAATTTTATTCGTGTAACGTTATATTGAATGACACTTGATCTGCAATGTCCTGCGACTATTATATACTATTATCTGATTGCTATGTAACACCACAGCGGATATTCATTATAACTCCCAGCCTGATCAATCCGCTATAATGAGGGTAAGATGTAACATTATTTTTATTTTTTATATATAATCATAATTTGTGCCTTAATGATTTATATTCAAGGAAAACATGTTCATGATTTTAATAATACTCGACAACAACTGGAAAATGATATCACAACACGAGAAACTCATTACCATAGTTACAAATAATAAGATTTTAACTATTATAATAGTATTTATTTTGAATATAAATAATTAATCTAAATATTGTTCAAGTATGTTAATCTAACGTTCACCTAAATCACATAATTCGGTCCATTCTTTCGGAGGATGCAATTTTAAGATTTCATCTGGAAGTGTGATCAACTGCATCAAAAGACCAGATGCCAAATGCCACTATAAAAGATAAAAAGTTTTAAAATCAGAATCGTATTCATTTTTTCATGTATCAATAAAAAATCTTTACATACCTCGTAAAAAAAAAATGAAATGAAAGGAAAAGAAAAAAAATGTTAGTGAATTTGTCAAAAAAAGCAATATTAATATACTGAACAAAAACGGAATGAAACGATAGCATATCATGTGACAGTGTATTTCCCACGCTCCAGGATTGTCGGTAACAAATCTGATGGCAATCCATCTAAAAAAAAAATTATATTCGCCTCTGTTTAGTCTGTTTTTCATTTTACTAATGGACTATTTGCCACCCATTATATGTCATCGGTGAAAGAAAACGCGAAATTTTTTTTTACCCTGAGGCAGGTACTGTTGCAGTATCACGCTTGATTGGATTATGTGTATTCAAATCATTTTCATCAACTTTATCTCCATCTCCGGTTCCAAGTATCCAAAATTTGTATCCATGCTAAGTTTTTAGAAAAAAAAGTTAATTTTTAAATCATTTATGTCGATTAATTAATTTTACATACAGTGTGAAGCGGATGATCACCATTGTCAGTATCTAAAAAAAAATATTTGTTAATAAAATCATAAAATTGAAAATTCTTATACAATTGTTAATTAATTATACTTACTGACGAAATAAATATCAACTACTTCCTCTTTATCAAAAAAATAGGCATTTGCATTAGTTCCTTTAATTGGTTTCCCTTTAAAGATTTTTTCTAAACTCGGAAAATTTAGATCGGGCACATAAGAAGATTCATTAAGGAAAGCTTTAACAACTCCTGCTGCATTCTCATGAAAAGCAATTTTGAGTTCCAATTTTTTCGTTGGTTCGGGAATCTTTTCTTCTTTAAGTGGTTGTAAAGTCATGTGATCTATATCAACGCATTCTGTCAAGGAATCAGGCCATGGATTGTCTTTTGGTTTAGGACCATCGGGGGCTCCTTTATAATGTACTATAGCTTTAATAGTAGGAAGACTAGCTCCAGCATCTGGCATGCATTTCTTTTGAAATTCAGAACGCATTATATAATTATCGACCGGTTGGTTTGCAGTAACAATAACAGAATATCTTTGGGCGACATTGATGGAAAGACTATGGATTTTTTTTCGCTTAGTATATCCACCGTCTGCTTCTATAACTTCCATTTCATGTTTGTCAATAGAAAAGAAGAATGCCGAAAATGCGCTAGAAGAATAAAAACATTAGTCACTTTTAATTTTTTTTGAATTGCATAATACGATGTAGATTACTGTACCTAGCATTAATGATACGAAGGCGATATTTTTTATTTTGAACAAATTCAAATTTAGCAAGACCGGCATTGTCCACACATTTAGAACCCGGTGGGGCCTTGGAGCAATCGAAATTATGTTTTCCATTGATCAAACCGTTATCGGGAACTGTAGATGTAGGAATCGTTCTAATTAGCATCACGCGGTCATACCTTTGTACTTATGTCAATCTTTCTTACCTGGCTATTATTATATAATGAGAATGAATTAATATGAATTTAAGAATTTCGAATTAAGCTTCAAAACGTTAAATTTACCTCTTCTCCTTTACTTTCAGGAGTAAAGAATTGTTTTAGTAAAACTTGTGCCTTGGTATGATAATAATCATTCAACATGACAATAATTTCCTCATCATATTCCGCTTTATACGGATCATCAGGATCGTGAACAACTAATAAATTAAATAGAGAAGTCATAAAGAATTAAAAAAAAGTCGATTTAAATTAAATAATTATAAATAACTTACTTAACGCGCCAAGAACTCCATCAACATATTGCAACGTTTTATGCGCATGACTAAAGAAATATTATATATAGACAGTGAGTACATAGGAGTTCAAATGATTTTTTTTTGGTCTCATAAATACTCACTACCAATAAGTGCCAACTTCGTCGGGAACAGTGAAATTGTAGGTGAATTCGTAATCGTCTGGTATAGAGCATTGAGACTGATAGTATGTATCAATCGACAATTGGTCAATATTGAAAGAATATAATTATACGATCAGTTTTTTCCATTGACTCACCACCCCTGGTACTCCATCGAACCTATATAAAAGATTGTGAAATTAGTATGGTCTTTGTAAAAATCAATTCCGGTAAAAAAAATCACATACCAAGGAGTCCCTCTTTGACGCATCCCATGCGCATGAATAGCTAATATTTCATTTTGCAATATACGTTTAAAAACACGTACAACACATAAAACATAGGAAAATATTTGTTGCAAATTACCTGTTGGTTCTCCCAATTTATTATTAATTTTCATCAAAATACGATCTCCTTTGTTAACTTCTATGGTTGGTCCAGGATATTGTCCATTAAAGGTTGATAATTGACGAGTAAACCCATCTGGAGCCAAAGTAACTTTTTCCATAGTGAAATCAAAAATATTTGTTTTTGGTTCATACTCCCGTTTCAAAATTGGCGTGGGCGAGACTATCGCTGTCCAAAGAATAATATAAAAGAAAAAGATCCCACAAGAAGTCATTATTATATTATTATTACTGTAAGAATTACTTTTCTTAACGATAAAACAATATTATAACAGTTCGTCGAAAAGGTACTTTAATGTCCTTTATAAAATAAAATTACATAGATTGATAAAATATAAGATTGATAAAATATAAATAAATAATCATAATATAACAGTCGTGGGACATTCATTACTGCTGATTATTTTTTTAAAAAAATTTTCCCTTGTTTCCTATTCAAATTAATTCTCTTATTCGAATCAATTTTCTTATTCAAATTAATTTTCTTATTCAAATTAATTTTTTTATTTATTATTATTACACATAAAAGACGACACGAAACTCGTAACACCGTTACTTTCCTTATTTGGAATTGACGCGCATAACTTTGGTTTTGTTTGTTATTTTGTATTTTTTAAATAAATGCCTATATTTGTAATAAAGCAGTGGTAAGCATAGTGGAAGTTTGTTGTTACACAAACTGTTGTACAGAACTCATTGCTTCTGAAACTTTGCCAGTAATAGTTGTTACCCTAAATTGGAGATCAAGTTCAGATCCAATTCAAATCCAGTTTATCACTTACTTTTTATTCAGTCAGTAGACATTCAGTACTGTACTCTTTTGCATTCCTGTACTGTATGATCTAAAATTAGCATTTCTGTATTAAA